AAACCACCTTTGAAATCCCAACCTAGCCCTTAGAGTTGAGCCAAGTCTCCCCACAGCACCATCCACAGCGGAGCTCATGGTTTGGTAGTGGTCCTCCTGGAAACAGTCGTTGCCAAGAAACCACAGCCAAACTCCTGAGCCTGTGCCCTTCCAGGACTCTGATTGGCTGTGGAGTGAACTCTCTTCAGCATACATGTGTGAGGCCAAAAAAAGCAGAGCCTTTTCTTCTTTTTTTAATTTTTTTTTTTCTAATTAGTTTCTCACATTCTTTGTTCAATGCTAGTAGCTAGTGTTTGAAGGAATGTTTGGGAATTTTTCACATTTGGAACCAAATATCACTTTGGAAAACTGAAAAATTTTGGAGATGGATCATTGTGTCAGGGTCATAAAAACACACATGTGATTAATGCTGCACATCTATATACTTGAGAAAGTGAAATTGTAACTTTTTGTAGCTTAAATTTACCATAAGAATACTAATATGAAAAAAGTCTTTAAAAATAAATTAATATTAGAGAAAAACCTAGTTAGTAGTTGATACAAACTGTGAACATTTATTGATGTCTATTTTCTCCTCCTCTTCTTCCTGATATGTTTCAACTACTTGGTAAATTGGGTGCCCTAGGCATTGAGCTGCCAAGTTCACACAGTAGTCAACAATCAGTCTGTGCCTCTTCCAGCCCTTCGGCTTGAGGACTTCAGTCCAGTGGGCTCCATAATTGATCTTCCTGCTGTGGATGTCTGCATCAGGAAGCTCTTAGCTGAGATTGTATTGGTACCCAAAGGCTGAAGTGAGGACCACTGGGCATCAGGGACTTAGGGCTTTGGAGCTACCACAGAGCCCCAGTGTGAATCAGTAACTGCTGTGTGAGGCGAGGGGGCAGGAAAGGCATTCCACAGCATTATTTCTTCACCCTCAGTAGGAGCATGCAGTTTGTCTTACCAGATGGGAGAACAAGGGCCAGATGATGAGTGATGATTCTATGAGTTCATAGGCTTGGTTGTGGTGCGCAGAACAGAAAGCACATGGAAAGCCTTGTCTTATTCCCACACTGGCTGTTCCTGCCACACACTGTCATCCAGAAGAGGAGAAAATGTGTCCCTTTAAATGTGTGATAAGCAATTCAAAAGATTTATGAAGGAGATGATGAGGATGATCTTTTTTTGGGGATTACTGAGTGGCACTGCTAAACTATGTGTTATTTGTAGGTTGTTTGAATTCATGTGCAAAGTCTTCCCACAGCATAAGTGTCACACAGTTTTATTTTAGACAGCAGGAAAGAGTATAGGTGTTTATATAAATTGCGATAATGTTCAGATAGAACAACTGAAGCCACATTTGAAATATAGTGTGGGTTTGAGGCACATGGCATCTTGTCAGGCCAGTGCTGGCAGGTTGTCCCCTTTAAAAACAGCAGTGGGTTGTACTTTCCTTTCTCTGCAAGATGGGCTTCCTTTTCATGTGTACTTCCCTTTGGGATTTCTGGTAGATCCCAATTCAGAGAAGTTAGTTTGTCACTTGATCCACTTCTGAAAGAATGGCTGAGATTAGACAAAAATTTAAGGTCAAGTAGGCACAAATAATCCAGCACAGACCTCCCTGTTTCTGCTACTCCAAGATATCCTTGAAGCTGCCACATCCTCCTGCATTCTGGTTCCCAGCCTTCTCCATCTGAAGAGGAGACAAAGCAGGTCTGAACTGCATTACTACTCAGGAATTTGAAAAATGTACCTGCAGCTAAGTCCCCTGGATTCAACTTAAAGTATTCTAATGGTTGGAAATAGGGAAAAAGTTTAGTTCATCAGAGCGCAGAGAGTCACAATTTAATTTTGGCTGCTGTTGGCTGGACTCATTTTTTTTTCCTCCAACACCTGGCTGTTTGCTACAGTATCTGAAACAGCAATGTGATCCAAGGTGATTTCCAGTGCATCCAATGTCATTGAAACAGATTAAATAGAAAACTTTGCTCTCTATGTGGTTGATATGTGATGAAGATGTAAAATATGGTCAAAAATTAGATAGTTATTATTAAAATGGAAAGGCAAATGTTCATACTATTCAACTGAAATATCTTTGGATCCAAAGTTGTGTTTTCAATTTCTATAGTGTTACATTTTCATACTCCTCTTATGTAGGTGTATGCTGAATATTTGGGGTGAAATGACCATCTCACCTTCATTTCTGATTCCTCAGAGCCTATAGACCACATTAGACACAGGAGATAAAATAGGGCAAAATGTGTTAAGCTCTTGCTCTTTGCTCAGGTCTTGGCCTTGCTCAGAGGGGTTTCAGCACACTGGTGCTGTCCTCTGTCCCTTCCTCCACAGCAGGATGTCCCACAGAGTCAGACACATGATTGAGCAGATCTTGTCTGTGTCTATGCCATGAACACCGGAGCCCCATACTTCTCCTTAACAGCATTTACAACCTCCAATTACTCAAGAACAATGGCAGGGACATCCATGAGACTAGGAAAAGCAGAGTACAAACAAGAGGAAGTGACAGCAGACCCTTAGAGCTTGGTCTGAGGCGTGTTTTAGAGTTTCACATCACTCCAATGCTGCAGAGTCATTTGAGCAGTTAATTTAACATTATTAATTTAATGACTGAATGCTTAAGTAATTAACACTATTAATTTAATGACTGAATGTTTAATTAATTTAACACTATTAATTTAATGACTGAATGCTTAATTAAAATTAAATGCTTTAATTAAAAACACTTAATGACAAATACCTGTCACTGAAATGTATGCTTCTTATGGTTCATATAGTGATTTTTGTTATTTATATTTTTATCTAATAAGAATTAGACATTAAAAGGAGATGTATCTTTAAATACTAATAAAGAGAAAAAAGTAAACTGAGAACATAAGGTGCCTCCCAACTATAGCTAGGGTCCAAATCTTAAGTGGACCTTTGTTTTCTTCATCTTCCTGCATTAATAGTAGGAAGTCCTTAGAGATGGGCATTGCATGGACTGATTAGTCTAATTGTGAGCTCTGTGTATTGAGCTTCCAAGGTCCTATATTAGTCCACAGTCTGTGCCTGCAGTATTTCAGTGGATTGTTCATGTCCAGTGTACTGCATGGCTGTGTCCCCTGCTGTGGTTCTGCATCAGGAAGCGCCCAGCTGAGAGCATATTCATGGGAATGCTGGGCACAGAGCCTGAGCCTTTGTTGGGCACCAGGTATGGGTGGGTATTGGGATGGGCACTTATGTTTCATGACCCATCAGAGAATCAACTAACCAAATAAATGCAGCATGGGCTCTGGAATGTGCTAAGGATTACTGGGAGTAACATTTTCTCACCTTGATGACAAACATCACTGTTTGAGTAGCCAGATGGAAGGACACCCGCAAGTACAGAATTGTATATGAATTCATGAAGTTTTGGTTTTTATTTAAGATGAGGGTATCAGATATCTTTTTAAAAATTTATTTTTACCCAAACTGGTTCTATTTTCCATAGGAAACTCAACCACAAATGCACAAAATTTGACAGTCCTTAAAATCATTTCCTAATCATTATGAAAGTGCTGTGACTGTGGTGATGGGATGATGAGGTGATTGATGACAGAAGCCAGAGATCATGAACTGAGGTGCAGGTTGTCCAGGCTGAGGGCTGAGCAGCCTGTTCTTGTCCTCTCTTCCATTCCATGTACAGCATCCTACTCTGCTTATGCACACCCAATTTAGTGTATAGTAAACCAAGAAAACCATTGTATTTATGCAACTCAGCTTTGTTAGGTGGAATAGAGAGCAGCCTGCTTATATTGGTCTGTCTAACCATGGACACAGGACATCACAGGAGGATCCTGGCAGGCTGTCCCATGGGCAAGGCAATCAGCCATTTAACTCCCTGTCATTGCAGAAAGAGAGCCTTGCCCACGGTGCTCTTCCTTGTGGGATTCCTGGGGATAAGGGAAGAAAAATAGCGGCACCTGCTACATGCACCATGGAAGAATGGTCACAAGCCACAGGAGATGTCACAGTAGGGGAGGCTCAGAATCATTCAGCATAGGTCATATATTGGGCCCCCTCCAGGACCTCCTTGGAGCTCACCACATGCTCCTCCATGCTTGAAAACAGCCCAATCACTCTCAAAGCAAACCTAAGGATAGGTGTTATTTTCATTCCTACTCATGAAACTGGAAATATTTGTAAGATATACTTGTATTAAGCCCTGTCGACCTTTGCTGAAAACTATCCAGTGGGAACAAATAAGCTACTTATTTCATATTATATTATTTTTGGAGAATAAACAAATCCACAACAAAAGCAAATGAGAAGATCAAGAATGATGAGAAATCTTGCAGACAATTGGAACATAATGCATTCTGGTTATGCTGCATTAACTTTAATTTAGTGGCCATTAAAAGCAGTCCTTACAGTCTGTAATATCTTCTCAAAGGTTTTTGTCCAAAAGCCTTAGAACAAAATGAGGTATATCAAACTGCTTCTTAATTTTCCTTATAGAAAGGCCATTACTTATTATCTGATTTTTTCTTAAACAGTAAGCTAAATTTCATTGTGATCACAAACTTCTTCTCTCCTTTGCTCCTGGATTTCTAATATTGCTCAATTCAGTATCTCCAAGGTGAGTATAGAAAGAGGGTGAATGATGGAGGAAGTAATGATAAAGGAGACTGGGTGAAGACTGGGTATTTCACTGCCGAACATTATTATTGAAGGTGTATGGACCTAAAGTGTGAGCACCTTGCTGATTCATATTTGAATTATATTGTTTATAGAATGTGTGGTATCTGTTTTATGTTTTTCTGTTTCAAAACTTCTTTGTTTGTTTCAAAAGGTGCCCAAGAAATATGCAAGCAAAAAATCAAATATGTCTCTCTAAATTCTATCTCATGGGACTCTCAGAGAATCCAGACCTGCAGCCCACCCTCTTTGGACTGTTCCTGTCCATGTACCTGGTCACAGTGCTTGGGAACCTGCTCATCATCCTGGCCGTCAGCTCTGACCCCCATCTCCATACCCCCATGTACTTCTTCCTCTTCAACCTGTCCCTCACTGACATTGGTTTCATCTCCATCACGGTCCCAAACATGATTGTGAACATCCAAACTCACAGCAGAGTCATCTCCTATGGGGGCTGCCTGACACAGATGTCTCTTTTTCTCCTTCTTGGTAATATGGATTATATGCTTCTGACTGTAATGGCCTATGACCGGTTTGTGGCCATCTGCCACCCACTGCATTATCAGGTCATTATGAGCCCTCGCCTCTGTGGCTTCTTAGTTTTGGGGTCCTTTTTTCTGTGTCTCTTGGATTCTCATCTGCACAATTTGATGATCTTACAAATTACCAGTTTCAAGCATGTGGAAATTTCCAGTTTCTTCTGTGACCCTTCTCAACTCCTGAATCTTTCTTGTTCTGACACCTTCTCTAATAACATTGCCAAGTATTTTCTTGCAGCCATCTATGGCCTGTTCCCTCTTTCAGGGATATTTTTCTCTTACTATAAAATTATTTCCTCCATTCTGAGGATCCCTTCTTCAGATGGGAAGTGCAAAGCCTTCTCCACCTGTGGCTCTCACCTGGAAGTTGTTGGCTTATTTTTAGGAACAGCCTCTGCAGTGTACCTTGGATCAGCTGCATCACATATTCCCCAAAAAGATGTGATGGCCTCAGTGATGTTCACTGTGGTCACCCCCATGCTGAACCCTTTCATCTACAGCCTGAGGAACAGGGACATTAAAAGTGCCCTGAGGAGGCTGCAGAGTAGGGCACTCTGACCTCAGGACTGTGATCTCTGGTGTCAATGCATGCTGCAAATGCAGCAAGAGTTGATGGATGCCTGGACCTGTCATTATGCCCTGTATGCTATTTTGTCATCAATTTTTATAGTATAATGGTTGGATCTTATGTTGGGAAGGGATATTTAGTTTTTTTCACACCAGGAACAAGGTTTTACTTGGGTAAGATAAGATTGATGGAGATAAATAATTGTGATTGTTTTACAACTGTCTATTTTTAATGCCACTAAGCTATACATTTAACAATGATAATAGTGACAAGTTTTTATAATTTAAATTTACCATAATGAAAGCGACCTAAGAAGCTCCTGTTAAAAAAGGAAACAATTGAAAGAAATCAATAGTACAGATGAACTTATTTTTTACTAAGAATTGCTGAAAAACATTAGTTGATATTCATCTTTCTTTCATGACACTGTAGAGCTTGTGATATGCTCTTCAGGTGGGAAGTACAAAGCCTTCTCCACCTGTGGCTCTAAGGAATTTTATGCTTTTAACCTCCAAGGTCATACCACAGTCAATGAGCAGCCTGTGCCTCCAGCATTTCAGCTTGATGTCTCCAGTCAGGTGGGCCCCATCCTGTGTTTCTTCTCACCCTGGTTGTGTCTTAGGAAGCCCCTACCTGAGCGTGCACAGATGTCAACCCTAAAGATGAGGTGGGAGGTGACTGGGTACCAGCCATGTGGAATCCACTCTCCTAAGTCATGACCACCTGAGCCAGTGTAAATAGGTAACTGCTGAGGGAGGTGAGGATGGAGGAAGGACCAACATGCAATGTGGCTGCCCAGAGGGGAGAGCACTGCACAGTGTCAGTCATGGGGACTGAGGGTCGAGGCATGTGTGTGACATCCACGGTGGTGGTGAGCATGGTGGCAATCTCACTACAGTTTTCCTTTCCTCCCTCACTGATCCTTCTTACCATACACTGTCATCCACATGGAGGGAATGTGCTCCTTCACACTGACATTAGCACCTTTATGAAGGTGATGATGAGGAGGTGGACCTGGATGAGTACCACATACAAACATATGATCCTTCCATGAGAGATCCCTGAGTGCCAGGCGCTGAACTGTGCACTATTTGTAGATTCTTAAATTCTTCTGCAAAATCTTCACCAAGTTATAAGTGCCAGGTTATTGTGTTTGACAGAGTAGAGAGGATCAGATATTTTTGTAACTTGGGCTAGCAGTTTAAGTGAAATAACTGAAACTATGTGTGAAATGCACTGTGGATTTGTGACACATAGCATCTTGGCAGGACAGAGCTGGCAGATTGTCCCTTTCACAAGCAACCCTGTTTCATTTTTCTGTTCCTTCAGAATGGGACTCTATTTTTCTATACCCTTCACTTAGGATTTCCAGTAGATCCCAGGACTAACACTTTAACTAATTCTGGAAAAGTGGCTTAAATGAGACAAAGTTCTAACATTAAGAGGGCACAAATCAACCATCCCAGAGTTCCCTGTGTCCCCCTCTGCAGGACACCCTTGCAGCTGCCACATCCTCCTGAATTCTGGGAGTCAGGCCTCTTCTTGGGAGGAAGCAAAGCACGTCATGATTTCATGACTACTCAGGGACTTGGAAGAGGTTAAGACTGTATTTGGTAGGTGCCTGCAGCTAAGACCTCTGGATTCAGCTTAAAATATTGTGATGGATGGAAAACAGTGAAAAGATTAGCATCTCACACTGAGATTCATGATTTGATTTCATTTTCTGTTGTCTCAGCTGGTTCTTTGTTAAACTTGGGGCAGGTTGTTAGTGTCTCTGTTACTCAGCAATGTCATTGAAGGTGATTTCTAGTTGATACAATGTCACTGAATCCAGATTAATGAGCAAACTTGTGCTCTCTACATGATTAATATAGGAGAAGGTATAAAATATGGGCAAATATGACCTAGATAGTTATAAATAATATGGAAATGCTAATCTTCATACTATTAAAATATCTTGTAACCTAAATTTACTGGTTTCACATTTCCAAAATACCCCTCTTTAGTTATATGATGTATATTTGTGATAGAATGGCCAACTCTTTCACTTCTGATATCAAAGAGTCCATACCATGTTTGGCACAAGGAGTTAAAAAAATAAAAAATAAAAAAATAATTAATCATTGGATAGACCCTGCTCTGTGCACAGGTCTTGGCCATACTCAGTGGAGTTTCAACACACTGCTGCTCTCTCTGTACCTTCATCCTAGATTGAGTACCTCTTGTTTGTGTCTGTGTCATTTACACATGAGCCCCATACTTCCCCTTCACAGCATATACATCATTCAGTTGCTCATGAACTATGGCAGAGATGTTCACAAGCCTATGACAAACAAAATAGGTACAAAGGGGAGTAACAGGAGACACTTAGAGCTTGGTCTTAGACACAATTTTGAGTTTCACCTAATTCCAGTGCTGCAGTATCCATTGAAAATTGTATTCTTCAATAGATTCACTATTTTCCTTATGACTGAATGTTAAAGTTAAAAAAAGAAAAGAAAATAAATAGGGCCTGGGGCTTTGGATCAGCAGTAGAACACTTGCCTAGTATGAGTGAGGCACTGGGTTCTATTCTTAGCACTGCATTTAAATAAATAAAATAAAGGTCCATCAACAATTCCCCCAAAACTTTAAAAACAAGCATATAAAAACCCCCATAGTGACAAAGTAAATGCCACTGAAGGGTATACTTAGTTTGGTTCTTTTTTTAAAATTTTTTTATTGTTGGTTGTTCAAAACATTACATAGTTCTTGATATATCATATTTCACACTTTGATTCAAGTGGGTTATGAACTCCCATTTTTACCCCGTATACAAATTGCAGAATCACATCAGTTACACATCCATTGATTTACATATTGCCATACTAGTGTCTGTTATATTCTACTGCCTTTCCTATCCTCTGCTTTCCCCCATCCCCTCCCCTCCCCTCCCCTCTTCTCTCTCTACCCCCTCTACTGTCATTCATTTCTCCCCCTTGTATTATTTTCCCCTTCCCCCTAACTTCCTCTTGTATGAAATTTTGTATAACCCTGAGGGTCTCCTTCCATTTCCATGCAATTTCCCTTCTCTCTCCCTTTCCCTCCCACCTCTCATCCCAGTTTAATGTTAATCTTCTTCTCATGCTCTTCATCCCTACTCTGTTCTTAGTTACTCTCCTTATATCAAAGAAGACATTTGGCATTTGTTTTTTAGGGATTGGCTAGCTTCACTTAGCATAATCTGCTCTAATGCCATCCATTTCCCTGCAAATTCTATGATTTTGTCATTTTTTAATGCAGAGTAATACTCCATTGTGTATAAATGCCACATTTTTTTATCCATTCGTCTATTGAAGGGCAACTAGGTTGGTTCCACAATCTTGCTATTGTGAATTGTGCTGCTATGATGTAGCAGTGTCCCTGTAGCATGCTCTTTTTAGGTCTTTATGGAATAGACCTAAAAGGGGAATAGCTGGGTCAAATGGTGGTTCCATTCCCAGCTTTCCAAGAAATCTCCATACTGCTTTCCAAATTGGCTGCACCAATTTGCAGTCCCACCAACAATGTACAAGTGTACCCTTTTCCCCACATCCTTGCCAGCACTTGTTGTTTTTTTACTTCATAATGGCTGCCAATCTTACTGGAGTGAGATGGTATCTTAGGGTGGTTTTGATTTGCATTTCTCTGACTGCTAGAGATGGTGAGCATTTTTTCATGTACTTGTTGATTGATTGTATGTCCTCCTCTGAGAAGTGTCTGTTCAGGTCCTTGGCCCATTTGTTGATTGGGTTATTTGTTTTCTTATTGTCTAATTTTTTGAGTTCTTTGTATACTCTAGATATTAGGGCTCTATCTGAAGTGTGAGGAGTAAAGATTTGTTCCCAGGATGTAGGCTCCCTATTTACCTCTCTTATTGTTTCTTTTGCTGAGAAAAAACTTTTTAGTTTGAGTAAGTCCCATTTGTTGATTCTAGTTATTAACTTTTGTGCTATGGGTGTCCTATTGAGGAATTTGGAGCCCGACCCCACCGACTGTAGATCGTAGCCAACTTTTTCTTCTATCAGGCACAGAGTCTCTGATTTGATATCAAGCTCCTTGATCCATTTTGAATTCACTTTTGTGCATGGCGAGAGAAAGGGATTCAGTTTCATTTTGTTGCATATGGATTTCCAGTTTTCCCAGAACCATTTGTTGAAGATGCTATCCTTCCTCCATTGCATGCTTTTAGCCATTTTATCAAATATAAGATAGTTGTAGTTTTGTGGATTGGTTTCTGTGTCCTCTATTCTGTACCATTGGTCCACCCGCCTGTTTTGGTACCAGTACCATGCTGTTTTTGTTACTATTGCTCTGTAGTATAGTTTGAAGTCTGGTATCACTATACCGCCTGATTCACACTTCCTGCTTAGCATTGTTTTTGCTATTCTGGGTCTTTTATTTTTCCATATGAATTTCATGATTGCTTTCTCTGTTTCTACAAGAAATGCCATTGGGATTTTGATTGGCATTGCATTAAACCTATAGAGAACTTTTGGTAATATCACCATTTTGATGACGTTAGTTCTGCCTATCCATGAACAGGGTATATTTTTCCATCTTCTAAGATCTTCTTCTATTTCTCTCTTTAGGGTTCTGTAGTTTTCATTGTATAAGTCTTTCACCTCTTTTGTTAGGTTGATTCCCAAGTATTTTATTTTTTTGAGGATATTGTGAATGGAGTGGTTGTCCTCATTTCCATTTCAGAGGATTTGTCCCTGATATACAAGAATGCCTTTGATTTATGAGTGTTGATTTTATAGCCTGCTACATTGCTGAATTCATTTATTAGCTCTAATAGTTTCTTTGTAGACCCTTTTGGGTATGCTAGGTATATAATCATGTCAACTGAAAATAGTGATAATTTAAGTTCTTCTTTTCCTACTTTTGTGCCTTTAATTTCTTTCTT